AATATCCTCCCCGATTGTAAATACTTTCTACTCAGTGTTTAGAAGCGCTAGTACTAAGGCCATACTTTTTACGGTCAGTGACTGTAGGTCGAAATTACCCTTTTGTAGCGAAGTTCATATATATTTGACTTTATTTTCCCTTTCATCCCTTGTGTGATTTCATACGCGGAAAATGTATACTTGTTTTTCGTTTCCGTTTGCTGGGACAAAGACAACGTGCCCCATTATGTTTCCGGGGGCTTCATATAACACAAAAACGATGTCCTTACCTGCACGTGACACGCAAGCAATCCGGCCACACTTGTTTTGCCCACTAGGACGAGTTAATTAGTGTCGTGCTTGTCTTGCACATAGTTGGACGAAGGAACTGTGAATGATGACGATGATGCTGGCGACGTTACACCCATTTTCTTCCCTACGCGACATTTTTTCTCCGGTTTACGGAGGTCAACATATGCTATTCCCAAACATTTTGGGTGGTGCACTACTGAGAATAGTGTTTGGGCCACAACAGTTTGGGATAAAAAGTTTCTTTATCGTTTTGTGGGCGAAACAGTTACGTAGGTGAAGCTTTTAAAAAAGCTTATCAGAAGGTACGGTTTCATATTGGCCAGGAAGTTACACCTGTTCCTTAGAGATTTCATGGTCTATTCTTTGTCTCAGCTTGTTCAAAACTCCACAGTTGAGGCATAGTTAAGGGATGACTGTACCAATTTTGTAGAATTGACTAGAAAACCTTATTCAATTGAAACTGATAACTTACTGTTTTGAAGATCTTATCGTCGTATACTGTTTTTAAAAGGGTATTTGATGAAGCGAAAACTTACAGAGCTCACTAGAGGAAACGTTTGGGGCTAGATGGCTCAAGTGGTTAGAGCGTAAGTTTACTGGCCGGATGAGCGCATTTACCTAATAATTAAACCGTGAAATTTAGTCAAGCTTTTTTCTACAAAGTCTCAAACTCATGTCGAAATAAACGTAAACGTGTACTTTTTGTGGTGTGTGCCAGTCAGTGGGTCCCAACTTCTAAATAGACGAAAAGTTTTCATTTTCACTATGCGCACAGTTGACCTCCGAGATGTGGATTATAACGACGTACGTAGAGAAGCCACGAATCTATTAACAAGTACTACCTAAATCATAATGCGTGTGTTACTTTCAAACTACTAGAATAATTTTGGAATCCACTGAAAAGTCCTCATCTCATAAGGCACTGGTATATGAAGCGTCGGTGTGTGAGATTAAGTTCAGGAAAATGAACAGGCTCCCGAGAAGCACAGATGACTATCGAGTGTCACTGAAAGACTCAGCAAGAATGGAACACAGGAATGATCTTCAAGAATTTGAAGTTTTGAGGCGGGGACGACGATTCAAGTTACGGAGAATGAAAGCCAAGAAAGCGTAAATGACCAAGCACCCCAGAGTGAACAGAACCCGAGGCAAAGGACCGGGGAGCTTGTGCAGTACGCTTGTAGATCGGTCGATTTGACATAAAGTGGTGCAATTATCAACAACGTGGAATCATCAACGAAACTTAAAGATTGAGTAAGTAAGCCGAGCAAACGATCATTTAAATTTTTTCCACGCCTCCTCAACAAATTGGGGTATCAGGTACAAACCCACACAGATAAAAAATATGTGGCACCCAAGAGGTATCCTCAATGGAAGCTCCTTGAACAAGATGATCAAGGCGTCAAACTCGATCAAGATGAGTTTGGGGGACCACGCACATGGACGATAATCCTAGCTACAACCACGACTGCATTTTCCTCCAGAGCTTTGACTTTTTACACACAAAAAGTGGCGAAGTAACTCTGCCAAAATGAGTTCCTTTATTCTGAAAATGAAAACATCTATCCCCTACCTGGATAAATTGGTTGAAAATTCCCGGACTAGACCTCCTGCATAATCAAACGCTTCACGTAATTAAAATGCATCCTGTAATTGAAGTCACAAATCGCAACTATGCAGCAATTCGGACAAAGCCCTTACCGAGCCAGTGTTTTTGTCTCCAAGCTTACTCGGGTTTGATGGTCTCTAGCTAATGAATCTTATCGGTAAAGGGTTAATTGCACCAATGGGTGCCACCATTTGATCCACACGAAGAAAGGTCTCAAGCTGTCGAATAACTGTCCTCATTTTAAGTTTAATGTATGGATTGAACTTCTTGCTGTTGAGTACCCATAATAAAGTTTCCCCCAAAATAATTTGTGATTCTTTTGATATGTGCTTCGACGAGTCCACAATTTAGGGAGTGAGCAGATAACATAACAATCTTTGTGGAACTCCAGGATGCAAGCTTTGAAAAAAATAGGCAATCTACTTTAGTGCAAAAGCACTAAAAATGTACCACGTACTGCACAAGGAAAGCTTGGGATTGTTGCAAACAGATATATCAGCTTGCTGACGGCGAAACTAGCTGATCAGACGGAACCTTAGGAATACAAACAGGAGCCTAGGGTTTCTGAATAATACATTTTCTCCGATTGCATTAGCCTTTATTTATCTGTAAAATGCAGGGGTGCATGCAGGTGCACACCAAGCGTAAGTAGTTATTGGCTACGGATGCCAAAAGCAGTCTGGATTTAGTTGAGAGTTGCTGAAAATGTAGTGACATCTTTCAATCACCCCTGTTAACCAAACATAGAATATGCTATCTGATATATATATATATATATATATATATATACGTGTGTATAAACAGTTGTTTCACAATACTACGATCTAAAAGCCTAAGTATACTGTGTATGTCTAAGCCGCTTTGTTGTGGTTACATCAGCTTATGTACTGCTCACCATCGACGGCTTCATATCATGTGTCCGGTGCAAGAGAATCAACCGTACCTACCGCGCCCACTCATTTATCCGGGTTAAATCTTGATGCGTTTATAAATTTTCCGTTATATCGCCCTGTAGCCACCTATCGGTTACAAGCGGAACAGTGGTCCTCTGCATGCTTAATCCGCTGCGGCAACTTATCGGAAATTCCATTCGAACAGAATGTCACATGTTTTAAGGTGACGCAGTAAATAGTTTTCCCGATCAGGAAACTGCTGATTTTGCCCTAGGAAGACAGAGGTAGGCGGAAGACAAATCGGTTCAACTGTCTGCTACTCTGTTAACTAAATATCCAAATAAAAGCTTATGATTAATTATTTCCTTGACCATCATCTGTAGTGTGACATGAGGCCACCTTTGTTGATGTGGTTCATCTTGAAAAAATCGTTTGCTGCGCAAAACCTCTGTCGCGAAATACTTTAGTAGCATACTGGAAATGATTTTTGGAGGAAAACAGTAAGTTTGGAAAGGAGCTCTTAGTGACAGCTAAGATTCATTTTTCTTCAGTCACGTTAGGCTGCTGAGGTCAGAATAAGTTTTGCTGAAGTAGCCCGAATAGTCTATGGACGTCTGGTGACTGGATCAGGCCAAGTTTGTATATTGCACTGCTGGGTCATTTGACGTAACATGCTACATCTACACTTTCGAATTCAGACGGAATACTTTATGGGTTAGAGTAGAGTGGCACTCAGCTGCTTCACGGTTTTCAAGTTTCAATATATAATATAAACTTTGCCAGTACAATGGGATACTATCAAGGTTTGGTTGAATCTGGCTAGGGAATTCAAAATATACCAGTTCACGATCAAACGCCTGACGGAAGCAGACACATGTATACGAAACCACTATCTCAGTGAGACAGTGTGAGCCTATTCTACGGATTTGCAAGAATACAGTCATGCGTAACATTCACTTCAAGTAGACATGAGAAACCCTATGTACGCTCAAAGCTCAGGAAAAACGTTTCAATTGAAGACTGGTCTCATAAAAAGAGTCCAGTAGTACATTCCAAATCACCGCTTTCAGATAACTTTTGAAAGTATATAAAAAGTATTCATGAACTTCATGGGACAGTGGATTGGTTACAGTTTCAGTACAAGTTTTAGTTGCAACAACATTTGAACAGTAACCAACCGGCTATCATCTGTTGAAAAGACCCCCCTACCACAGCGGGTTTTTCATACAGCCTGCATTACGAAGCCATGAAAATTAGCTGTTTTTTGCGTAAAAACTACTTGCTTGTGCGGGCAACGAGTTTGCAGAAGAAATGAAGACATAATGAACACAGCTGAGTGTTATTTCAACCCGCGGTTTCAATTTATCACTTGGGCTGCCTTTTTATGCACATCCGGAGTTAAATGAGAGTAGTGATGTGAAAATGATTTACCATGACGATTCCATTGTAGCTGGTTATCGAAGGGACAGTAGTCCCATATCCAGACCTGGTTACCCTTTTGACTGCATCTCGTTAGCTTAAATGGGTAAACTGTATTTAACACACTTTTATTACATGTATCACAAGCATTTTTTGATCCTACTCTGCACTTACCAATGATCCAAAAGTCGATTTCCTAAATGAGTAAGGCTGAATGCCTTGCTGCGTATTCACCGAATGATGCAAAACTTAATTCCCGTTATTGACGGTGTCCAAAGATTCCACGGTTCCCAGTCAACATCATCACGGTGGCCAGAGTCCACAGTGTGCATTTATTAAATGAGTTGATCGAAAGCTTAATGGGCCTTGCACTATTAAGCTAAAGGGGACTTCTAACTCCACACTAACCTGTTTTTTTACAAGGAAAAGTAAAACATCTCCGAAGACTCTTGATCAAATAATACCGGTTATCTGATAAAATGACCACATTTGGTATATTGTTGGCACATTTTTAATCGCGGATATTTTGTCCGCGAACGGTTGAAGATGTGTGAATGACGATTAGAGAATAGACAAATTCGCGGAAAATCTAAAATAAAAGTACTTTAAATAAGGTTGATTAAATGTGGAATTTCACCATTTCAACAACTTTTAGTCAAAACAATGTTTCACCGGATTTGAGTAAAATGATAGAAAAAGCTTCTGGTATCACGTTACAAAGGGCAAATTAACGGTTCGTAGTAGATCCTTACACCGTATTTTTTTGCTATCCAGAAAAAATTACTTACCTTACAATACCGTAATCTTCAGAATCGGCGTCTTCCGCGAGCGGTAACTGTAACCGCGTTCCCACCTTAATTCCTTCTGAGACAAATATTTGTTTTGTAGGCGCCTGGAATCGCGGCGCATTGTCATTGATATCAACCAACCGAATGGACAGTCGCAGAAAATGTGACTGCTTTTCCAGCTGATCAAGGGAAGCATTCATCTGTTGTCTTGATTGTGTTCTGGAAAGTTGTACCAAAATTGTTACAGATAAATCACAGTCCCGCCTGCGATTCGCACAACAACGAATAATCCCAGCAGATTGTCCTCCGTCGGGACTGCCACTGGCGTATTTGACACAAAACTTTTCTCTGTCAATCCGCTGTGTGGTTACCACGGTAAAATTTATGGGCTGTATAGTGAAGTAGTGTGCCAGTGGATTCGCTGTCGAAATAATCTTTGTGTTCACCGAAACCCCACCGCCGTCCATTACGAACTGAGTTGGAGAGAGTAGGGAGCATGGGTTTCCATTCAAGTCGTCTGATAGCACGCGATTCCCTGGCGTCTCATCGTACACCACACAGGTGTGACTTAGCTGGACTAGGCCACCCAGTGAGTACCGGTCAAATCGAGTTTGAATACTGACCAAGGTGATCCAGCATTGGCAAAATAGGAACAAAATCAAAATCATATTCTTACAAAAGAATAGGTTCCGCCAGATATTTTACATAAGCCTGGAAATATGCAACCTCGCAGTTTCATGGGATATTTGAATATGGTGCGTTCTCGTCGACGGCGGTAGAACAGAGTTTAAATCCATGTTCTAGCACTACTGCGGCTGTTGCTGCCGCTAAGTTTGGTGACATCTATTATTATCGGCTGGCTACACTGTTAATAGCTTCACGCTGATTGGTCCATTATGTCGTTTTATCCACGATAGGAAGCTAGATAGAGGAGGATAAACTCCGCGCATGCCCCTTAGTTCCATAAACAACACAACCTCTGAAAATGTGTTCACTGGCAGAATGAGGCATGCGCTGCGTTCGGGTGCATGCAGTTTGTGCCTATGTCTGTACTGATGTGTGTATATTTACGGCCCCAGTTTTCGTGGTTACGTCTAAATCTATCAAGCGTGAAAAAAACTGATGACAGCATACAATCGACCCCGGCATGAATCATTCTGCGCTTCCGGAGGCAGTCGCTTCACATGTGTCGCCCAGTGGTAGAAATGTGGCACACATCAACCCAACTGTTTTCCTGTAAATTACTGGTAATATACTGGTATTAGGGTTGATCCTAAAATCAGTGTGTATTGTCACGTCGGAAGTTCCCTTTTTGGTGAACACAGTGATGAACTTCAATGGTTCGATCTTAAAGAAACAATTGTTGAGGGGTTGTTAGTTTCTTTCAACTTGGACAGCAGTTTTGTGGATGGAAGTTTAAAGGTTTTCATCGAAACTTGTATACCTCAGGTTACGGGAAATATTGATGCACCTCATGTGCATGATCTGACACGTGGTAAGCTCAGCTCGGCCGTGTAGGTTGTCACAGTAGCCGGGTGTCCAGCCATGTGAGATTGCACAAACAATGTAGTAAATGAAGCTCCTCCTTGCTTGTCCAACACAACTTCAATGTTTTTACAGTGTGCAATCAAATAGATTGGTAAGTTTGTTACTATCAATATGTTCATTGGACTGTAGGTTTACTGTCAAACTTGACTAGGTTCCACCGTGAAATGTTTGAGGTAGTGGGGTAAGTATGAATGCGCAGTCCATTTTATTTGTAACCAGATCACTTAAATCTCACACAAAGCCATGGCAGGTTCGTGGCGCGGTGCGGACCGTTAGCTTCCTAATGACCAAATTGTTCACTCATATTGAATGCCCGTCATACTCAGTGACGGGTCAAATCTTTGACCTGTCTGCATAAGGCTACCGAGCTTCTCCAAAAGTAAAATCCGAACATTTAATGCACATCATAAAACTGACATCTCAGCTATATTCGTTGATCACACTGAAAAACGCTGACTCATTTGGGATGCACGCAGAGCACCTGAGTTGTAACTTTTCTATAAAGTGAGATTCAGTTTACTGACATAGATTCATTTCCATCAAAGACAAAATTGTTAGAAAATGACAGCGCAAATCAGATATACTGGGCTAAAGCATGCCACATTTTGTCACGGCCGTCTTGATTTGGGCGTTGGATATCGCAAGAGCTTCTCTTCAGCTGTCAACCATGTCAGAAGTGCTAGTACTCAGGATGACAATGCATCTCCGGGAAAAAGACAGCTTAAGAAATCTTTCGTCAGTGGACACCCTTGGTCAACTAGGTCCAGTGTTAATGCATATGAGGTTTTCCTCCTACGGCGATGCCTAATACGCGTCTTTGTTTTTATGCAAAAATGTCAACACCGAGAGGAATCCAAAAAAAATCCGGTGCGGGAAGTGCACACACTTTAAGGGATGTTTTTTAATTAAACCCAATCGGTACACAGTTAGGAAGTAATTACGATAAGGTTGAAAAAATGTCGCCATGAAAAATGGAGAAGACAACTTATTTTTTGTTCGGTCGTTGCATACAAACCGCTTCATCTGCATGTGACATTAACATTAGATATCTTGACAATATGACCACGAGCGAGAATGGCCAGAGGTTTTATCATAATCATTGTGGTTCGAGGAGAACCTAGAAGAAACCAAGCTAGGAGCTGAGAATTTTTATTTTATGCTGTAGCATTTATTTGCACGCTTTCTAAGAACTCAGCCACATAAACAACTATGTATTGGTTTGATGAAGAATCAGGAGCCCAATGAGAATCTACACCCAATTTGGATCTCCGAGCTATGTCTACCGGTCGATAGAAGCATGGTTTGGTAGAAAATAGCCTGATTTGTGCCTGACTATCAAACACTGGCCGCAGTTACTCTAGTTCTGATAAATCTTCGGCATCACGCCAGGTCCACAAGAGTAGTGTTATTTAGTTCAAATAATCAAGTGTCACCCGAATTACGCCTGGTTCAGTAGCTAAACGGCGAGCCACACGGATATTAATCCGTTTCTTGTGTGAAGCGTTCATCCGACACCTTACTCGAGAGGTAAAGCCAGTGGCTTTTGCCCAGAAATTCAGCTCGAAGGACGTTTGATGACGATGAGTTGAAATTTAATACGAATAAAAACCTCACATACGTGAGGATTTCGTGATCAGTAATATCATCTCTGGGGTTTGCATTCCATAAGGAAGGTTTTTTGAAGACGTTATTCGTAACTGTTCGTTTTCGCTAGAGAGTTTCATGAGGAGGTCAAAGTGTCGCAGTCCTCTAAAGCGCTTCTGTATTAGTTTGACATCCTAACAGCAGTCAGCTTGTGTCAGAGCGAACATCTAGGCGTTTGGGTACAAAGTTTTGAAGTCCCTAAAGCCAGGTCATGCCATTTTAGGAAAACTGAACAGTACCAATCTAAGTAGGATATCTAAATTTAACATTGGGGATGTTCCTCTCTCACCAAAGTGAACTTACACTAATCTATAAATAATAAGACAATTTGGAAAAACGTGACCTACAGAAGTTCATTTTTAATTTTTGGCTGAATATTTCACTCGATGAAGGACAATGAGAATCTTCACTAATAAGCGGTATTCACAAGACGGCTGCACCAAAAAAATCAAACAACCCTTACTGACTAAATTTGAGAACACATATTTCCCTTCATGAACGTGTGGTTCTCCGTTTTTTCGGTGTTGCTTGCATGAAAACAGGCTGGGCATCGTTGTGCATATCCATAAACCCCGCCTTCCTCCTCACAGTTTGGATGAAATAGGAAACCAATTCAACATAAAATTCACCTTTAGAAGAAAATGCTGACCTCTGTAAGCCATCACGAGCACCATCACTTTTAGCCTTGTGTATAGAAAATGTGCAATACCATAATTTTCATCTCACCCAGATCGAACTTATTTCGGTTTTCTACCCAGTCTTTTTCTTTCTACAAGCTATGTGTATGAAGTACTCTGTGCGTTGTTATTCTCCCAAAACATGGTTTCTTGAAACATTTATTCTTACCAAAACTATACTGAGTAATGTGCTTCTGATTTCTCCCGCAAGTGCTCGGTTAGGCAACGAATGGTACTGAGTTTCCAGAGCTCGACTTTTGCACAGTAAATATGACACAACTTGTAAAGCAAATACTGGTTTTTACTTCATTTCCCAATATTTTCCATGTACTAGTGTAAATTGTTTTATTAATTGCCTGACAAGGTTTTTGGGTTTTGAACACTTGAAACACTGTTACTAAGACCGAACTGTTTATAGATAGACCATGTGCGTTCTAATCGTGCACGATTTTGTGAGTATAGCTTTCGGTGCAGAGAGTAAAGCCTGAAAAGCCCATTCGAAAGCTCGCCAGTGAGACACTGAGTGTGTTTTGCGACGCATAATCTCGAACGTTTGCCATCATATACAAACAGCTGGGCAACATATGATGGCCGACATTCCATTAGCGTTATTGTATCCTCAAACTCTTCGTTTCGTGTTCCATGTGTATGAAGAGCAAATGGGTCGCAACCTATCAAATGCCGCAATTCTGCCTACATAGCCAGCAATGCACATAAAGAGAATAGGTCTGGAAATAAATCACAACTGGGGGAAATCTTGTAAAAAAATGCAGACATGTAAAAACTACTGTGCAATAGCAGGACTTTTACTGAGGATAAAGCATCCATAACTCAAGATTTTTGTGCGGTGAGGTATGTATGCTGTCAGGCATCGTAAACGAAAACAAAACTTTGGTATATAATATACCAGTTTTCGTCAGGTAAGGCTTGGAATCAGTTTTAATTAAGTCGGTCCGGAGTTCGCTTTAACCAAATCAGCCAATCAGCTGAGCATGTGGGCGGAACATCACAATCAAAATTCCCGCGGTTCATACTGGCATTTGGTGGCTTGATCCTTACTTTTAAGGAAATAATATATCTACATTAGCGGTTTGAGGAGATTCCTGTTTTGTTTGTAGAGATTTTGTCCTGTAAGTGAATTCAATCTCTGCTGAAAAGCCGAGAAGCACTGTACAAACGTTCTCCCTGTACATGACATTGAGTAATCTAGTCTATGAGAATTACCACTAAACCACAGGGTCAAGGTTCCGATTATGTACGTGTTAATAAATTTGAGGAATGTAGATAATACGCATATTGGTGCATCTATTTAAAAGAGAATTTGGCCTTTTGGACTTTTCAGTCAGTAAGAAAATTATACCTGTTTTGTTCTGGGAACCGCCCAAATTTAGAAAATGACGAAATGTGCTGCAGAAAAACAACGTATATCAAGGAAATAGGCACTCAAAGGAATTTACGGCGTACATATTTGCAGTCATGGCTTGGACGATGATTTTGTGCCATCCGTGTTTTTTATTGATAACTGATGTTCGTGCACGGGGACGTGTTTCCAGACAGAAGTTATTCATGGGATTGCGCAAGGGGAATTAATCGCGAAATTTTACGAATGAAAATAGCTTTTCTGCTAGGGTTGTTTTGACGGGATTAATGGTCCTCCACGTATGTAAGGTGAAAGAAAATACAGGCTACACAAAATGGCACAAAAAACTATTTATTTTGTAAAGATAAAACTTCTAAGCGGCTATAATGGGTCCTATAATAACTATACACTTCTGCTTATTACTCTCAAGATGTCCTAATAATTGATGCTTGTTATATATTATTTGTTTCATTATTTGTTAT